CTACCACCACTACCACCACCACCAGCACCCACCACTCCGATGTGAAGAAATCACATACCTCGCACATGCGTTCATTTCGATTCAACTCATATCCAAACACAATCGACATTTCCGGCCCGGCCCTCGCTCGCTCTTCTTTAACACAGATGATTCTGTGCCAAGCGTGCAGGGCAAACGTCTATGACAATGGCAAGAAGCTGTAACCAATGAACAATGAAGGAAAGTCTACTTTACAAAACCCTTATTATTATTGTTGGACTCACAGTGAACATAAGTGCATCAGTATGTCGCAAAACAGCATGGCGGCCTGGCCTGGGGATGGGACCAGCAGGCTGTGTCAACAAAACGAGCCTAAAGCCGTGCTTCCTGTGTGCTTCGTGAATCTCAGGGAGTTCAGATTGCAAAGAGCTCATAATCATTTCTGCTCCGTGTCGACTCTACAATTTCAAGGAAACCTCGTCTCGGCTCAAACACTGCTGAACCTAGAGTCGCTGAACCTAGCAAACTCTCCCACACTGCAAGCCGGCCATGGCTCGGAGGTTATGCTATCCTGACATGCCAAAGTCAAGCTGGCTGTGCGATTTCGGCAACACATCAAACAGAGAGGAGGCACGTTGCAGAGGCATGTCATTTCAAGCGTACCAAGGCGTGTTCAGGCGCCCAGGGCTCTTCATGCCAAAACCTCGCCACGTGCTCATAGTCCATGAGCTGTAGTTCCGTCCTGCGGGGAGTGTGGTCTATGACATTAAGTCTGTGAATGTCTGCGGGCACACTGTTTCGTGACACAACATGCTAAAAGGACCTCTCCCCTTCTGCTGCGAGCTGCGAGCCTGCAGCTCATCATGCCAAAACTTTGCCTCGTGGCCACGGTCCACTGCTGGGCTTCACTCCTGCGGGTCACATGATCTGAGATCCAGCTTTATCATCACACTGCCACACAACATGCAAGTGACTACCCCAGCCATTCTCCTGCAAGACCAGGGCTCATCATAGCAACTGTCGCCGTGTGCTCACAGCCCCCGAGTGTCATGGTCTGTGAGATAGTGTCTGAAATACTTGTTTGATGAAGCAGGCAAGTCGGAATCCCCCTCGTTCTCCTGGGAGCCCTCGGCTGCGACTTTGGCCGCATGCTCCTGCCAGACTCAAGGTTTGGATGATGCTAAGGAAACAAAGGCACACAAGACTGCTACATCCTTGAGCACACGAGGCCAGGCCGACAAAGCTCGCTTGCCCTTCAAAGTCAGGGCGTCTGCAGCGAGACGAGCGGTCTCGCCCATTTGGCGAATCCAGTCACCTCGTGTACACTTCTCTCAGAAGGCGAGGACACAAGCGACAAAGTATCGGCCGAGGGGCCCGTCATATCGCTTAGGGCTTCCACGGCATCGTCCACCGTCAAGATGTCCTCGGATTTCAGGATCGCAGCGAAGTGGGCAACATCGCACCTTAGTTCTGAATCATTGCAAGGAACATGAATCAATGCTTGGGTCCTATGTCGCCTGTACTTGTCACTGTCGCATGAATAAAACCGAGAAACTTAGACGAGCTCGCTGGGAGCAACTGCAAAAGCATATCATCGATTTCAACCTTGGTGGGATCCTCCGTCTTGCTGTCATCCCGAGGCACCCCCTCCTTGCTGTGCTCGTAGTCCAGGGACTTCGCGGACTCGTTCTCGGACTCATCGGCCTCCTCCCGCCCATCTCCCTCGGGGTCCTGCTTCTGCGGCTTTGCCGCTTTGGGCGATCGAGCGAATGGCCCCTTGAAAAGGTCATCATCGTTATCATCATCGGATTCATGCCCCGATTCATCCTCAGGCACCTTCGGTGCCACCTTTTTGGGCTTCTTCGGGCTCTTGTGAACCCGTGCCTTCTTCGAGCTGCTGCCGGGGCTCTCAAAGTCCANNGTGACGGCGGGCCTTGCTGGACTTGGCCTTCGGGGTCTTCTCGGCCTTCTCCTCCATGTTCTTGTTGCTGTCCTGCAATCAGGCAACACTTTTTTCAACCGAGATCAAGATATGAGCAGAAACAGTGCACATGCTTCTCACAAACGACATGACTCGCATCTGTATGCTCTCGGACAGAACCCCCCTTTTCCGCTGTCCGCTCATGGCTCTCCAGACAGCCATTCCAGGCGGCTTCGCCCAGCAAATTCCGGCCTTCGGCCCCTTTTTTGTACATCACCTCTTTGAGCGGCCACGATGCTTGCCATCGTAGTCATAGCCACCCTCGCGGCGACCGCTGCCAACAGAACCACGGGGTCGGCTGCCTCCGTAGGCATCCTTTGCCTTCTTGGGCGGCCTTGGATTGGGTGCTCATGACAAAACAAATGCACTCCAAACATGAATGAAGAATGCATGCAATAACAAACCAATCTGCACCAAGCTACGGCTCCACTTGTTCTTCTTCTTCTTCCTCGAACTCCTCCTGAGGATCGTCATCCTTCTTCTGTGGTGGCCGCTGCTTGGGCTGTGCCCTCAAACCATACGGGTTGCTGGTCTGCGGAGGCGGTGTTGGCGGGGTCTTCGGAACTGCAGAACCATCTGGCTTCTTCGCCTCCTCGGTCTTGACACCTGAACTCCTGAGCTCCTCGGTCTTGACAGCAGTCAAAGGTCGAGGAATCGAGTCCCCATCCGGCAGGAAGCGGGCGAAGATCTCCAGGGTGCCGTGGTCCAGCCTGAAGACTCCAACCTTTCGGATTGAGACCTTCGGGCTCTGGCCCTCCGTGTGCGGAGGCTTCGGCGGCTTCGGGTCCTCCACCTTGGATTCCTCCCTCTGCTTCGCCGCCATTTTCGGCTTTGGCTCTGCCGTCTCACGACGAGGAGGCTGCTCCATCTTCGCCTTCGGCTCGGCGCCCTCAGTCTTCTTGGGCTCATCTTTTTTAGCCTGAGCCTCGGCCGCTGCCAGCTGCTGTGCCGCCATGAAGGTCGTCACCTTCTGCAGCATCTCGCTGAGCTCCCCAGCCATGGAGGCAAGCCCATCGCTGCCCATGGCTCCCGACATGGTGCCCTACTCCTGTACGAGCTGCGACACTCTGAGCCGAACATGAATGGCACCGGCACGGTTTCGCATGAGCTTGTGTTTGGGACATCCAATGCTGCACGGACGAACTGCTGCTCTCGCACAGACTGCTGCACTCGCACAGACAAACCCTCGAGCATGTTTTTTTTCACCCTCATAACATCATGCAAAATTCGGTGTTGCATCGCCACCGCATCCTCAGCGATCGCCACCTCGGCAGCCGCCCTTTTGGCCGCTGCCCTTTTGAATTTGGCCCTTCCCATGCTTGTAGGCCCGGTGGCAGTCCAAACAGCTATGCGGATGCAAGTCCTGCCCATTCTCACTGAAGCACGGCCCAGACCTCGTGCACCGGTTCACACCGCAGTGTGGGCACATCGCCTTCCTGGGTTTTGAATTGAAGTAACCCGGGAGAAAAAATCTTAAACTTCTATTTCATAAGGTCCCCAAAAGAAGCAGTAAAGTGTGTACTCCAGAGCCTGGTCACTGACCGCTCTTCGAAATGGCAGCCTCCCGCTCAGCCACGGCCCTCTCCCTTCGGAGAACATCGGCCTCTCGCTCCACCACCGCAGCCTCCCTGGCATCCAGCTGTCGCTTCCTCTCCTTCATGGCATTGCTGAGAGAGACGTCGTCCTGCCGGATCAACATCTCGATGCGGTCCAGCATGCCAACCATGACATCTTCACACATCTCCAGGTTGCTCGTCGAGCTGGCCATGCTTTGCAACCCGGAGGCACTAGGGAGAGGCTAAGCAAAAGCCCTGGGGAAAGGCCCACAGCCAAAAGTCTGCGATGCGTGCTGCTGCTCAAGCAATGCGACACCAGAGTGCAACAAGCTTGCTCACACCGAACTCGCACCAACAATCGAGCACAACCGAGTCCTTCGTCAACTTCTCCAGGAGCTCATCGTACTCTTTATTCACGGCCGAGGTCTTCTGCCCAAGCTGCCTCAATTCATGCTCGTGGACACTTGAACTCATTGTGTCACGGCTCAGACTACGAGTTACAATCACAAAGCGAGGCTCTTCCGATGCTTCGCAGCCATGGACTGCAGCAGGGCCCGGATGTCGTCCATCGACTTCGTGGAGGTGATGAGAACCGCATTGCTGGGTTTCCCCGTGACTTAGTCATTGTCATGCTCACAATCAATGCAGCAAATGGGCAGACACTCATGCGTGCAAAAACCGGTTTCTCGAGGCTCGACCATCCATTGCAGCTTCGGTGCCCAACTTCACCATGGCATTCAACCTCTTCCTCCAGAGATTCGCTGCCGCACGGACCTGGGATGAGATTGCAGAGGGCAACAATTGGATTGAAGCAAGAGGCAACCAGCAATTAAACATACAACAAGAGTCCAAGAACGACCCCATGTGGACNNCTTCTCAGCCTTGCTGTTCTCCGAGCTCTTGTCCTTCTGCTTCTTAACCATCCGAAGCGAATCCTGAAGAAGCCCCTCCTTGGAGAGCTTTTTTTCAGGTTGAAGCAGCAGCAGTAGTAGTAGTAGTAGTAGTAGTAGTACTAGTAGTAGTTGTAGTAGTACTACTACTACTAGTAGT